TATATATATATATAGTTGTAAATTTACAAGCATGTCGACACTTATTTAAATATTTTTCTCATGAAAGATAAATCATGTAAAGTTATACAACATATTAAATGTGGTCCAACTTATTCAAGAATGTTATTTTGTTAAATATCTTATTTTTAACATGGAAAATTGGGACACTTGCATGCATACCACCCTAGACATTGCTATTTATAAAATAATCAATCATCTTCTCTCCATGTAACTACAGAAATTTATATATCTATATCCGTCATAATCAAATCATTGGAAATCTAATATACATGAAGACTATCGGTCGAAGTTTTATCCAAAAAATTTTGATGTCTCACAAATGATTTGAAAAAAAAAAATCCAAAAAAGGTGATCCTTTTATAAATGTCATACCTTCGGGTACATCGTACGTAAATGCTCCGAAAGTTAATGCATAAACAATCAATCAATACTTTGAATTCTTATGCTTTTTTTCAATCATTCTTTCTTTAATTTTCTCATGAAAGATAAATCATGTAAAGTTATACAACATATTAAAAGTGGTCCAACTTATTCAAGAATGTTATTTTGTTAAATATCTTATTTTTAACATGGAAAATTGGGACACTTGCATGCATACCACCCTAGACATTGCTATTTATAAAATAATCAATCATCCTCTCTCTATGTAACTACAAAAATTTATATATCTATATCCGTCATAATCAAATCATTGGAACTCTAATATACATGAAAACTATCGGTCGAAGTTTTATCCTAAATTTTGATGTCTCACAAATGATTTGAAAAGAAAATGCAAAAAAGGTGATTCTTTTATAAATATCATACCTTCGGGAACATCATATGTAAATACTCCGAAATTTAATGCATGAACAATCAATCAATACTATGAACTCTTATGCTTTTTTTCAATCATTATTTCCTTAGCTTCACACCTAATATGCCTTATTTAACTATTCTAAACTAATTTGAGACTCTATTTCCCAACCAACCATCCATAATGAGACTATATCCAACGACATTAGCACTCAAAGTTATATATCAAGTAGAAAGATACGCCTATATAAACTTATATAAATCATCACATTAAAAAAGAATCATCAAATAAAACCATACAAATGTAACTTATGTAAAATTATTATATATCATCATAAGAGTGATTTAAATAGAGAGAGAGACAGAGACCTTGCATTGCGAAAACACAGGGTGTTTGTTGTGCTTGGATGAGCTACAAAGCCCCATCACTCCACCACCACCACCAACATCTTTTCCAAACACCAAATCCTTAAATTCCATATCCTCCATCAACCCAGTATAAAATCCACCAAACTCCTTCAACTCTCTCCCAACCACAACCTCAACCCCCAAATAATCCCCCAAGAAACTTTCCACCATCACCCTTGGCATCTCTGTCACCCCCACCTTCCTCTTCACCTTCCTCACAACTTCAAACTCCTCAAGTCCCATATCCTCCAACATGAACTTTGGCAACACCGTCCTTCCAACCCTGAATCCATTCTTCCTCACTCCCAAGAAGCACACAATCACCATAACCCTGAGCCCCAACTCATTGCTCATGAAGTGGATTACAGGGTACAAAAGAAGAAGAATAAGTCCTCTAAGAAACCCTCCTCCTTCTATGGCCACAAGCATGAAGTATGGAAACGTAGAAGAGGATCTCAACAGTCCCCCTTCCACTTCCAGAACTACAGTTTCTGGGCGAAGCTTCTCCATTGTGCTCTCTGGATTTCTTTCTTTTGTTTTTGTTTTTTATACTTGGCTAAGCAAGAAAATATGTCCATTTCTCTACTCTATCTGTGTTAGGTGAAGGATCACTTTAACTTGATAAATTTAATGAAGGATCTCAATCTGTAATATAAAGAGACAATGAGCTTGTTCTCACTTTGGCCAAAACCGCACTCTGTTTTGGTGGCTGTGGTTAATAAAGAAGCTATTAATCAAGCCATTAGGTCTTGGTTCTTTTTCTACGTCCGAGCAAAATCTTGACAATGGTGGCAGAAAGATTTTGTGGAAGGTTTAATTAAATACTATTAGTTGTTGCGGCATACAAGTCATTTGAACTTGCACGGCTTCTAACTTGAAACTAGGATCTTTTGGCATGCAGGCGTAATAAATAAAGTACAAGTTAGCTTGCTTTAACTAAGGCTTTGTTTGGGGTAGTTTGTGTTTATCCACATCAGTACCACGGGGTTCGGCCTGTATTCTGCATTTAGTGTAAAAAATTAACTGTGTTTTCGGATAAAATGTTCAAATGAAGTTTCCAAACGGTGAGGTAACGTTTTCAAAAAACTGTCGAAGCGGATAAACTGCCACAAACAAGTCTTTAGTGAATCTCAAGCTAAATTGATATTGCTCATATCAACAATGTATTCTTAACTTGACGAATCGAGTCGAATCAAAAAAATCCATAAAAAAATATGCTTGTAAGCAAAATAATAAGTATATCTCCACGATTTGCATCAACCATAACTTTCTTCATACATTAAAGATAATGATAATACATATCTATATAATTTGTTTGGAGTTCATTATGTCTTACCATTATGTTTCATTAAGTTCATAATATGAAAAACATATAGAATGGTTAATTATCATACTGATATAAGGAATTGCATTTTATTTAATTTAACATTAAAAAATGACAAAATTAAAATAAATTTGGCAAAATTGATAAATTGGTCGTCATGGCATGTGTCGCCACGATACAAAGCCTCATCTCTACACCGTGTGTGTCTCTCTCTCTCTCTCTCTCTCTCTCTCTCTCTCTCTCTCTATATATATATATATATATATATATACTATTGGGTAAATTTACAAACAAATGTAATGTGATATATTCGTAAAAATTAAAATTTAAATCTTAGATATGTAAATATATAGAAATTGAGTGATATGTAAGTAAATATTTAAATTTGAATTTACACATATTAAGTAATTCAAAATATTTGATTAATAATTCACATTTTGTAAGAATTGCGTTTCAAAAATGAAGACTGCCTATAGAAAGAGAAGTGCTTAAAGAGCTATGTTCCGAGGCTATTGGGAGGTGATCCTAAGGTTTCTTTCGAAGGTTTCTCCTTCCCTTCCTTAGGGAAGTTCTCCTTCATTTTATCTCTATGGTTTGAGTTACTGGAGAGTACTAATCTCCCCTTAATCCCTTCTATGTTTTTATTTTCTTTTCTTTCCGATCTTGTTCCTCTTTTCGGGGAATTAGCTTTTAGGTATTTTGTTTCTCTGTGCAATTTTTGACGGTTCATTAGTTTTAGGGGCATAGCCCTTTATTTATTCCATGGATTTACAATCATTTTCATCACTTTCTTCTTCTAGTCTCTCTCAAGGACTTTTCTCATCCTTGAATTGAAAAAACTTAATGTTTTCTCACATTTTTAACTCCTCAATTATTAAATTATCTTATGTTCCCTGTTTGAAGGATAATGTTATTTTTTCATATGAAGAGATCCAAGATGTTTCTAAGCAGTGGTCTTTGGCTTTGGTTGGTTACTCCCTGGGTAAAAAGCCCTTTATGGCAATCTCTTGCAAGTTATAAGCAAATTATGATAACTAAAAAGACCTTTTGAACTTTTTTCTTAAACAAGGGGTTCTTTCTTTTCAAATTTAATTGCATGGAGGATGTTGATATGTCTTTATTGGGCCCTCCTATTCCATTATGGATTCGTTTGTCGTTTTACATTTATGTTGTTGGTCCGAGGATTAAATCTTTATGATTGCTAGCAAGTTGGACATTCCTCTTGTTGTTGATTCATTAACAACAAAAATGACTCTAAGTTAATTTTTTTCTTACGTTAGCATTCAAACCAATATTGATTTATCTTTTCCAGAATTTATTACTCTGAACTATAAAGGACATGATATGCAACAACCAGTCATCTATGAATGGAAACCTAATATTTGAAAATCTTATTCTACATTTGGCCATGGTTCTCAACAATGTCCACACTTCCTCAAATAATATCATGTTTTTCCTTTTATAAGAGAAATAATAAGAACATTAATAAGAATCGTGCAAGGAATATCTCTGCCCCTATTTTACCTGTTATGAATGTTGATATATCTGTTGTTTAAGCAGTAGTCCCTTCTATTTTATTTGATTTAAAACTTCAATTTTCCTGTTTTAAATATTGTTGTTTCTAATAGCATCCCAAATTTTGTGGTTCCTTCTATTTTGAATAGAGTTATTACTTATCTTATTTTAGAGGATGTGGTTCATAATATTGTCTCTAATGTTGTGGTTTCTAATGTTGTTTCCATTACTGTGGTTTCTTTTGTTTCTAATGTTGTTTTAATCAAACCTCCTGATCTTAATATTCCTATAGACTGAGAATAATTTAATTTCAGAAGAAGAAGATGGTGAAATTATTTCTGATAATTATTTAACAACTATTAGACTAAATAAGGAATCTCTCATGACAAATGATTCAAATATGCTTTATCAAGAATATTTACATTCAATTAACGATAATGATAATTCACAAGTGGTAGCTGCTAAGAGGTTGCCAATAAACTCTAATATTACTGTGAGAATCTCTACTTTGAATAGCTCTACCCTTTCTCTTAATCATTGAAGAGGTAGTTTGGTGGGCAATGTTTCTTCTTCTTTAATATTTTTGGTAATGTTCTAATGTTAATTCTAGTTGTCTTCCCATGGTCCCTATTCCGATGCCCAAAAAAGGAAGGCCAAACAGCATTAAACTCTTCTAGTAATAACAAATCAGGTAATGTTCCTATTTCTAATGTGGATGTGGATTGTTGAAGTTATTTCGAGTTTACGATTTGTTTCTGGAATGGATAGAGAAATCGTAATGTTGTTGTTGGCACTATACTTTCTTCTGCTAATATTTTTGTTAGCATTCTTTTTCAATTAATCTTTTCTTTTCCTTTTGGTTCATATGTTTCTCCCAAATATTGTTTAGAATGTTCTTGCTTTTCCTTTTGGTTCATATGTTTCTCCCAAATATTATTGTTTAGAATGTTCTTAGGCATAAAGTTATAATGTTGATTTTTTATGCCTTTTGAAAACTTAGCTTTCCTCTTCTTTTCAAACTAATATGATTTCCTAAAATTATTTTAAGTTATTTCCAAATGAATGTAATGTTCACAATTTTACTTATGTTATTAATGGCAAAATTTTAGTTAAGTGAAACTATCAGATTTTATAACTAACTGATTTTAATATAGTTCTCAATATGTACATTATTTTATTTATTTTTCTTCCTCTATTAATTTTAATATGATCATTATTTATGTTGATAATGATGTTTGATGCAGGGTTTTTGTGTATGCGTTGTAAATATCTTTCAATACTACAATTTACACACGATAGCACAATTAATAAATATATAGTTTAATCACAATAAAAATCACTTCAGTATAAATAATTTTATATTTTAAAATCCTTAAGCTGCCAAACCTGATAATTACGCAAGTATAAGTGTCACTCAAGTAATAAAGAACTTTAATGGAGTCATGAGTATTTGTCCTATAGGAAGTTGGAAATTCTTATGGTTGTAACATCAAACACAATATTCAAACTCTAAAAACTTAAGTAATAAAAAAAATCTAAAGTAAATTTAATGTATACTAAATGAAATGCAGATAAAAGAACTAAGTTAACTAAGCTATTTTCTAAACTCCAAACTTAAACTTACTAAGACTAAACAAAGTTTTGTAATGAAGAGCTCAAATTTAAAAAAAAAAACATCCAAAGTTTTGTAATGAAGAGTTCAAATTTAAAAAAAAACAGCATTCCCCCTTACAATGAGTTTATGGTTAGTGAAGTAACTAAAATCATTTTAAATTATATATAAAATTGTATTGTGTCAAATAAAAGCAATCATATTATTTACCCTCTCAGAGTGCATAAAGAACATTGACTAATCTAGAGTTTAGTCCCTAAATCCATGGTTTGGATGAGAGGATATTAGCTTCCACTCTAGAGCTCCCACTTTTCCCTCCCCTAAGGGTTAACAATCTCGCTTTAGTTTCCAAGCAACTAGACCAAATTGGGGATTTTAGTCGGTCACCCTAAAATCTCCAATTTTGCGCCCATCAAAATATATTTCTCCATTTATTTGCACTCAAACCCATGGACTACATTCCCACCCATGAAATTGAATGTGACTCTTACCTTGTTGTAAAAAGCATAGTCATTTTGGATATTATGTTTTACAACAAATTTTAACATTACAATTGGCCAAACCAAAAAAATAAATGAATATAAGAGTTCAAATCATCACAATTTATTGACATTTAAAACCTTGCACAACAATATTAATTCTTCACAAAACTATATCTCATTTTAGGGAGAAGGATAAAGAAGACTACTCATAATTCATGAGAAGGATGCAACAAAATATGAATTTTATATATAAAAATAAGTTTACAAAAGAAAGAAGGGAAAAAACACAACTTATCTCACACTTCTCCTCAAGCAAATCCCTTGAAGTTCACTTTAAGCACTTTCTCTATTTACAATCACACTCAAACTCTTTTAGAAATGTAATGAAGAAGAAATCTCTGACCTTCCCTCTCCTCTTACAACTCTAGAAGAAAAACCTAACTCTTCCTCCAAGACTTCTTATGCCACCCTCACACACAAACTCACTAGCCACACACCTTTTTTCGCCACCCTTCACATGCCTCACTAAGCCTCTATACAGGTGTCAACCCCTCTTCAAAGGAATTCAAAATTTCCT